GTCTACATAGTTCTCGAACCCGTAGGATCCGCACGCTTAACGTTCGATGATGATCGGTATTATGAGTTTATGTGTTTTGATGTACCTAAGGTAGTTCGGAGTCCCGGATGTGATCATGGACATGACAAGGAGTCTTGAAATGGTCGATACATAAAGATTGATATATTGGAATGCTATGTTTGGACACCGAAATGGTTTCGGATAAGTTCGGGCATATATTGGAGTACCGGGGGGTTACCGGAAACCCCTCGGGGAGTCAATGGGCCTTATTGGGCCTTAGTGGGGGAGAGGAGGAGGCAGCCAAGGTGGTGGCGGCCCCCCCAAGCCCAATCCGAATTGGGAGGGGGGCCGGCCCCCCTTTCCTTCTCTCCTTCTCCCTCTTCCTTCTTCTCCTACTCCAACTAGGGAAAGGGGGGAAACCTACTCCTACTGGGAGTAGGACTCCCCCTTGGGCGCGCCATAGAGAGGGCCGGCCCTCCCCTCCTCCCCTCCTTTATATATGGGGCAGGGGGCACCCCATAGACACACAAGTGACAGTTGTCTTAGCCGTGTGCGGTGCCCCCCCCCCATAGATTTCCACCTCGGTCATATCGTTGTAGAGCTTAGGCGAAACCCTGCATCGGTAACTTCATCATCACCTTCGCCACGCCGTCGTGCTGACGAAACTCTCCCTCGATCTCAGCAGGATCAAGAGTACGAGGGACGTCACCGAGTTGAACGTGTGCAGATCACGGAGGTGCCATGCGTTCGGTACTTGGATCGGTTGGATCACGAAGATGTTCGACTACATCAACCGTGTTACTAAACGCTTCTGCTTTCGGTCTACGAGGGTATGTGGACACACTCTCCCCGCTCGTTGCTATGCATCACCTAGATGGATCTTGCATGTGCGTAGGCAAATTTTTTGAAATATTACATTCCCCAACAATACCGAGAAAATCAAAATTCTGGTCTCATTTCAAAAATGTTATTGGATTATAGATGGAACACACATTCATGTGGTTGTGCCTAAGGAGATGTAGCCCCAACGAAGGAATAGGAAAGGTTACACAAATGAAAATGCCATGGAAGTATGTGCTTCGATATGGGGTTCAATATTCTTTTGGATATTATTGTAGATAAGTATTGCTTTGTGGACTCTGGGTATTCAAACAGGGTTGGATATATAGCATCATACAAAGGGCGATGGTATCATGTACCAGTGTTTCAGCCACACCCTCCAAGGGGGAGACACGAAACATTCAACTATCCTCTTTGTGAAAACATTGCCGAAAGATCATTTGGTATTCTAAAGATGAAATGGCAAGTTCTCCAAGGCATACCATGGTACAATTAGGGACACAAACGGATAATCATGCATGTGTCTCCACGACTGTATTCATGATAGCAAGTTCCATGATGAGCATTTCAACAAGTTTGACGCTAACGTGTATGTGCAACCTCGCTTACGTTTCTAGGTGCAAACGCTAAAGCACTCGTAGATGACGGTACCATGGGCGCAACACCTGAGGTTACTGTTGGGAGCCTCATACCTTAAGATTAGTCATTCTGTTTGTAGTTGAACTTTTGTTAGGAAGGAAACTTTACAACCTTCCTTTATTGCAATATTTAGCCCTCAATGATTTTTGTAGTTGAATACATCATGGATTATATTTGTGCAATATGTCAAGTTTGTCCAATATGTCTTTACAACCAGATGCTAATCACCACAGACGTCTCGTGGTCAACAGGAACGTCTTCCCCACTGAACGAACATCGGCAGAAAACCTGAAATAAATCCATGAAAAATGCGAGCACCAGTGCCAAGTCTGGTACTTGAATCCTGATGGTAGGGACGAATTCAGAGGGTGGAGGGACTAATGATTCTCTCAACCCTTAATAGCGATTAAATAGATCCCTAATTAGGTGTCTTCTTTACGAGCCCCCCCCCCCTCCCTAGTACGGTCAGTGTAACTCTAGGTGAAGCCCCCCGGGACCAAGGTCCAGGCCTTAGCTCATGTATACAAAAGATAAATAGACCAAAACCTGTAGCAAAAGAAAAAGGCGACCATCAAATAGGAAGAGGACAAGGTCTTGCTAGAAGCAGCAAAACACGCATTAGATGTGTTTCCTCGCGGAGCAACTAACCAACCGTTACCCTTTGAGGGAGCAAAAGAAAAAGCCCATCATCAAATAAGGAGAGGACAAGGCATTGCCAGCAGCAGCAAAGCACGCATAAGAAGTGTTTCCTAGGGGAACTAACCCTTGGGGGGCTCCCACAAGGGTCACTTTTTGGCATGGGAGCGCCCCAAGTGGTGCTCCCAACCGTCGTCATGTGTCGCGTATTGGACGCGGCCTCAAGATTTGGGGATTTTTATGTTTTATGTACATGTTTTAAGGGTTTTTTCTGCTTTTTTGGGTTTCCTTGAGTTTTGCAGAAAAAACTATTTTATTTATTTATTTTGCAAAGCACAGCTATGCTGCCTGAAAAAAATTGTGCTTCCACGAGAAGCACAATTATGTTTCTTATGGAAGCACAAATTTGCTTCAGCGAAAAGCACAACGTATGCTTCGCGAGTTAGAAGCATAGCCAGTGCTTCCACGAGAAGCACAAGGCAAAAACACAATACTGCTTCCGTAAGAAGCACAACCTTACTTCCCTCAATAAAGGGAAAAGCACGGCCTGTGCTTCCCAAAAAAAAGTGAAAACCACAACTGTGCTTTCGGGCTTTGGTTTTTTTCTTTCGGTTTTTTGTTTTCATTTTCCCCAGGTTTTGTTTATTTCGTGAAAAAAGTTTGTCAAAACCTATTAACATGAGATCTAGTTTTGAGGATCCCGACACAAGAAATCCAACGGTGAAAACGGATCGTTATCTGAACGCAAGGTTCAAGAGAAAACATTTTGAATTAACAAATCTACAGAAAAAAGGAAAACTTTTAGGTTGCAACAAGTGACGCCGCCACTTGCCAGGACTTGAATAGGTGGGGAGTGACCTTTGCAAGAGATAACCCTTCACTAGTGATTTTGATTTCCCGGCCATTAGAACCATCATGATTTTATCATGGCACCAAAACACACATAGATTGTGCATCGTGCGATCTCCCTCATTCGCTCGAGTCTCTTTCTACTGTCGCTAGGGAAAATTTCCTTAATGTCCAAGGAAAGGGGACTCATTGAGATCCACCTTGGCCGTATAGGTGCACTGTTAGTCCTTACCCCTACAAAACCCCTAACCGATCTCTACCATCAGCCAACATAAACATGATTATTAGGGAAAGCATTCTCTCCGACGGTGCTGACAGTGCAGAGTCCTCCCTGTGATACCTTCTCATAGCTTCAAATCCCTGAATTTTTATCTAATACCCCTCCATCGAGAAATACTTGTCGAAGAAATGGATGTATCTATATGTATTTTAGTTCTAGATACATCCATTTTTATCTAGACGTATTTTAATCCTCCTTATGATATTTTGATCGACGTGAAAACTGAATTTGGAATCAGAATCAATTAGTTATAGTATGTACCAATTTTTTTTATTATATAATCAGTTTGGAAACTAATTTTTCCATCAAGGATGGACAATTTGACAGTATTTTTTTAGTTTTTATACCAATCAAAAAGTTCGGATTTAGACATCTTTGCACACTATGAATATTTTATGCCAATGAAAACATGAGTTCGGATTTATGATATTTGTAGTCGAATGCATCATTGATTATGTTGTGCAATATGTAAAGTTTGTATTTTGAATATTTGTGGTCTTTTTCAAAGTTTGTAATTTGTTTTTCGCATGTTTACATAACGTGTTTGGTTGCCCGCATCCACCTCAACCAGGCCCACGCGGAAAAATCTTGGCCCGTTTGATTGGCTAGGTTGCATCAAAAGATTGCCCGCACGAAACTTAAAAGCACCTCTGGTCCTGGCTCTGGAGGAATGGCCGAATCAGCGGTTTTTTCACAACCAGAGCCAAACGATGCAACTCGTGGTATGTGGCGGCGGAGGCTGCACGTGAGGAGGTGGTCTCGAGAAGTCACGTTGTTTTCTGAAGCCGTGGCATAATTACCCTTACCTTCCCCCTCTCTCTCTCCCTCTCTCACACTGGCGACAACGAGCAATGGACCAACGAACTTCAAGGCGAGCACCGCCATCGAGCACCGGCTTCACCAGCGCACCAACAGGACTTTAGCAATGGCGGTAAGCCCTTGCCCTCTCTTTCAATTTACTGCATTCGATTCACGCTTTAGATTGGATTTCGAGAATCGATTCAAGCGCAAGGAGAAGATTGAATACAGGGGTCAGGGGATTGGGTTTGCCCACTCGATTCGGCACAGTACCGATGGCAAAACTAGGCCGACTGAAACAAGCATGCAATGTTGGCAAAGTCCGAGCGATCAAACACACGCACAAGAACCGGTCGCTGCTAACCAATGCACATTCCGGTCCTTGGCAAACACTGACCACCAAACCTTTCTCGGGCACTAAAAAAAGCAGCGTGATAACAAGGGTTCTTATTTTCAGTCCACTTGTTAGAAAAATAGAGTTTGTTATTTCTCGCAACAATTTTGTTTTGTTTTGTTTTCCTTTCCGTTGGTCCTACTGCAAGAACGGTCCGCCTCTCCCTCTCTATCTCCGATCCCCCTCCGGCGCCGGCGCGCCGCTCCCAGCATCCAAGCACGGCTTTCTTGTGAATCCCCCTTCTCCCAGCTCTCTCAGCGCCGCCCATGGCTTCCTCCACGGCCGCTGCAGCCGCAGTCACATCTCTCTTACCGCCGCCCGTGGGTGCCGAGAGGCCGGTTCCCCAGGGCCGCCTCCTCTTCCGCGCCTCCCGCGCCCGCTCCAGCCCCCTACGGCTCAACCCCGTCCGACACCACGGGCTCTCGCCGGCGCCTAGAGCGGCCAAGGTCTGCCCCTGTTTTCCTAACATTAAGGAATTGCACAATTTTACGGCCTTCTCACTGGTCAGTTCTTGATTCGGAATTATAGGCTGTGGAGGCAGCGAAGGCTGACCCTCTAAATGTCATGATAGCGGGAGCTCCGGCGTCTGGGAAGGGCACGCAGTGCGAGCTAATCAAGGCCAAAGTAAGTTCTTTGGGAATATGGGTTCAGCCTTGTACATGGTTCCCTTTCTTTCTTTCATGATGCATTATGTGAACTAAATGATACCCCACGCATTGCCACGGAATTGGATATATAGTTTATAAATATCGTGTAGAATACGAATTCAGCACTTACGATTTAAACTATGTGAGAAATTTCTGCATATGCAAAGAATAAAAACTTAACAAGAAAACTTGTGCATGTCACGATTAAATGTAATGTGATTTAAAACCCACTTAGAATACAGTAATGCATGTTGTATGGTAGAGGATTCTCATGCTATGCTCGGATGGATGCTAGTGGATCAAGTTAGTAAATCTAATGGTTACAACAATGCACACATGTTGAGATAATTAGAAATAGTGCAGATCTCTCTCTTTGGGATATAGGATTGGGATCTAGCCTTGTGTTATTATGTCATGTGTATTGTGTAATTAGCCTTGTGCATTTACAACAAAATGTGGTAAAACGTTTACGACTAGCTTTCCTTGTTGCATCAAGTAACTGGCACTGTAATTTGCAGTATGGTCTGGTGCACATTTCAGCTGGAGATTTGTTAAGGGCAGAAATCGCCACAGGCACCGACAATGGGAAGCAGGCCAAGGAGTTTATGGAGAAGGGACAGCTGGTTCCTGATGAGATCGTTGTTAATGTGGGTATATTTTCTTCGCAATTTCATTAATGTGTTTCAAGTGAATGGTGGTAACACTGAGAAACATTTCTGGGTTACCGCCAGATGGTGAAGGGGCGTCTTCTGCAACCAGATGCTCAGGAAAAGGGTTGGCTTTTGGATGGTTACCCGAGAAGTTATTCACAGGCAATGGCACTGGAAACTCTTGGAATCCGGCCTGACATTTTCATTCTATTAGATGTAAGTGCCCGAGCCCAGCTATGGCAAATTATTGGTATGTGATGCAAATTGTGGGACATAATTGACCTTGTTGTGGTAAGGTACTAGCAGTACCAAGTAAGCTTGAACACTGCCTCTAGACCTTGAAAACTGCTGGTAGCTACCCTTAGCCTAACTAGTAGTCTGAACAGGGCAAACACTGCTTCTTTCAAAAAAAAAAAAGGGCAAACACTTCCATTGTGACCAATGTTGGATTTTCCTGAGAAAATGGAGATAAATATAGTCCCTTTTTTGGTACTAGTTACATAATAAAATCTACATATTTACCCTTTCAAGAATAAATAAGATCCATAATTTCAAGTTGCGCATTTAAGTACTTTCTAAGTGTTAACACTGTAATATGGCAATACACGATGTATTTATCATGCTTTCTCTATCGTGTTGAAACTGGCTGCAATTCAGTAAACAAATTCTGAAATTAAGAGTGTAAGTACTAGCGTTTTTTTTTGTTCAGTAGGAATATTAGCTCACCCGTCGAAAATGTAGGTTCCCGATGAACTTCTTGTTGAAAGGGTAGTTGGCAGACGGCTGGATCCTGAAACTGGGAAAATATACCATCTAAAGTATTCTCCACCTGAGAATGAAGAAATTGCATCCAGGCTTACACAAAGATTTGATGATACAGAAGAAAAGGTACATGGTTCCCATATTATTAGTTAAGATAATGACAGCATAGTTTTGCATTTATTATTAGACATGGTGGAAGTGCTTATTTGTTATTAGTCATGCAGTACATGGTGTTGCTACAACACATTGTTTTTTGTCTGCTGCTAATTAAAACTAGCTTGACATAGTTATTATCTCACAGTGGACCATATTTCCATGGTGGGGAAGTTGTGCATTTTTATTTTGTATTTACATTCGATAACAAGACTCGGTCACTCAGTATATGGAAGGCACGTGCTGCCTGGTCTAACGTGTGTCACCCAAAGAACAAAGTGGGGCTGGGTATCCTTAACCTGACTGCAGAACGAGGCCATGCTTATGAAGCATATAACAAGCTTTACGACAAGGCTGATATCCCTTGAGTGAAACTAGTTTGGAACTACTACAATGCTTCCTGGCGGTTTATAATTTCCCTCCTCTCCCCACGCCTCTGGTACTGTGCACCCCTTCTGGTGGAGAGATGTCTTTAACCTCTCCCATAAATTTAGGCAATTAGCTTCCTGTTCTATTGCCAGAGGAGACACTGTTCTTTTCTGGAATGCTTGCTGGTCTGATCATCTGATGAGGAGAAAATTCCATGGAATTCATGCATTTGCCCTTGATAGTCTTGCCTTGGTCCAGGATGTTCTCAATACTCATGAGCCCTTACATCTCTTTCATATTCCCCTTTCCAGGCAGGCTTTCGATGAATTTCATGAATTCAGAGAGTTTCTGTCCAACATACATTCATGCTCAGTTTCCTGAAGATAATGACTCTTGGTCCTTCTCTTGGGGTGCTAGGCTGCTAGCTTCTCATCCTCTAAAATGTACAGAGCTCAGTTTCAACACATTCATGCACCTAATAACTCCTTTTGGCTCTGGAATTCCAAATGCACCCTTAAGCCCAAATGCTTTGCCTGGTTTTTCTGAATGATAGGCTCAATACAAAGGATATGCTTCAATGTCACCAATTTCAGCCTCCTGGTGGTGTCAGCCGTGCCCTTTGCAACCTGCATACGTCAAGACTAGGGACCACATTTTCTGGCTTTGCAGCTTCAGCTCTTCATGCTGGAACATTCTTGGTATTTGTTTTGATCTATCTCAGTTTTCCTTGGATGGGGTCACCTCCAGGGTAAAGCTCAAGATTGGCAAACCTTCTACTTTGAGGTCCTGACGGTGGCTGCTTGGAATATTTGGAAACGAAGGAGTGGGAAGATCTTTCATTGCTCCTAGTAAAGCCTCCTGGCTGTTTAGCTTCAAAAGGGTCTCTTCCTTCTTTCTTACAGAATGAAGGAAGAGCTTGCCATCCCTCTTAGAGCTTGGCTTCATACCCTTGAGTATACTCCTTATGGAAGTTGTATGCTCATAGTGTGCAAGACCTTGCACCAATGTTCCAGGATGGTAGAGTTGCCGATGTAGTATGCTGGTTCTTGAACTGCTTGTTATGATGACGGAAGCTTGCAGAGAGTGCTGTTTTGAGTACTTGAGTTAGATCACTCTTTCCTGGTCTCACATATCTCATTGACCGTTTATCTATATATGTGGATTTTATCAAAAGAATCTGATTTTCAAGTGTGTGTTCTTCTGTTCTTTTACAGGTTAAGCTGAGGTTGCAGACTCATTATCAAAATATCGAGTCCTTGGTTTCGATATATGAAGATGTTATAGTCAAGGTAGGCGATTTATCTCCTTCATACTTAGAATGCTCTGCCTTATTGGTCAGCTCAAGGCTGATATGCTATTCTACTTCACGTTGTCTATATTCCGCCGAATTACCACATCACAGATTAGTTTGAAGTCGGGGAGAAAAGTATAACAAACATATATTTTTTGGATTATGTACTTTTATAAAGTTGAGCTAAGGAACTAAATCATCATAACTTAGTTTCTGTTCAGAAGTTGCTTAACACATACCGTGTGGTAATCATTAACATATTTTTGTTCTGCTGCCTAGATGGAGTAGCTCTTGTTGTTGTTAAATTCCTTGTTCGTCCATGGCATTCTTTATTCTACTTTTGTTGTCGAGGTTGTGCACTATATAGAGCAACAACTAAAAAAACTCACTGAGCAAACATTTCATAATCATGATGTATCTAGTTACCTATAACTTTCATGTATCTCTTTCACTGTCATCTGTGGTTTAGGTAAATGGAAATACCACGGTGGAAGATGTATTCGGTGAGATCGAGAAGCTGCTCACTTCCAGCCTTGATAAGAAAACAGAAATGGTGGCTAGCTAACTCATAAGCAGAGAAAGCTGCGCGAACCAGACATGTGGCTGAAGCATGATTTTATTCTATTTTTTGAAGACATGCAGGTGACAAAGCATTGATAGGATGATATTTAGAAAAGCCCTTTGTTATTCATGGATGTAAATGCGTCACTGTTTTGTAATGATCTTGACTAGGAATGCATTGATATACAGTGCAATTGGAAGGATTGCCTTGAGTTTGCACTTTTCAGTCTACATTTGTGTTGCACAACTTCATTGCATGTATTTTGTTTTACTCTGGAATCTGTCAGGTATTTCTGATGCTAGCTGAGGATTCTTCGTGTGACGATTTTGTAACATTACAAACCAGAAATCTGGCTGCAGAACTGTATAAGCAAAATGTATACCCAATATTCACAGTATGTGATGGAAAGAAGAACAAACTGAGATACGCATTTCCTTGTGAGCACAACAATCTTTCAATCAACAATTTTTTGCATCCAACACAAACCAGGGAGTGAGACCATGCTGCAAGACAAACCGAGTTCGCAGGGTTGTCGCGGCATATTCTTATTTGTTTGACCCAGACTTTCGACCACATGATCATCTTGTCAGCACTACATGATTTCAACTACAGCTCGGCCAACGATCTTGCCCTGGTTGAGATCCTCATAGGCGCCGTTCGCCTCTTCGAATTTGCATTTCCTTGATATGGCGTTCTCGAGATTGAAGGCGCCGCTCTCAGCAAGCTTGACTATCTGAGGAAGATCTTGCCTGGCTCTTGCACCATACGAGCCAATGATTTTGACCTGGTTCCAGTAATCATGTTAGCAGCCAGCCAATGTTACACAAAGCAAGCAAGGAAATCCAAGTAAAACGGAAGCATTGAAAATTGATGCAATGGTATTGCACTAACACTATACGAGTAAATTGAGGAAAGGGCCTATATGTGCCAAGACGATGTAAGTTCGAACATATCTGCAGGACCTAGCTTAAGGTCTGGACAACAAACGAACAGTAATCTGATGGAGCTAGATGCATACCTGTCGGCGAACAAGACGGGTTATATCCACCTCGCCTACTACGTTTGTTGCAGCAAGCCCGATCATAACAGCTTTACCTCCATCTCGTACACTTTGGGTGCACTGGGAAAATGTTAATGCCTTGCCAAGTGCCTCCACAGCGACATCCACACCTCTCCCACCAGTGATTTCCTGTGAATAATGAGATCATTCACATCTGAATGCGAACACTAGCTAAGACTGAAGAAGCAACATCTGGACAGCCCATGATCAGGATGAGATATCGAGAACTGCTACCTAAACAAACTGTATTGAGTGGTTTAAAACTGCAGAACTTGTTGTATACCTTGATCCTTTCAACAGCGTCTTCTTTAGCTGCGTTTACAGTGTGGGTTGCTCCAAGTGTTTTTGCATTCTGGAGTTTCTCATCGAGAACATCCACCGCAATGACTTCGGAAGCTCCAAAGGCTCTTGCTATCTGTAAACAGCTGCAGTGTTGGAGTAATGAGGATGCGCCAACGTAACCTACTACTCCAGAGTTTAGGAATGAATTTAATCCTTTCTTCAAGGAAATACAAATATCCTTATATCAGCTAACCTTGATCCAACCCCGCCAACCCCAATCACTGCTACTGAATCACCGGCACGCATTTCAGCAGCATGCCTCAAAGCGCCATATGCGGTGAACACAGCACATCCTAGAATGGCTGACTCTGTGTACGGCAACGAGTTAGGAAGAATTGCTAATGCATTGGCCGGCACAACACAGTACTCCGCAAGCCCGCCCATACTGTACATGTACACTGGTTTTCCTGCAGGCATTGCAATAACATCAGCAACACTACAATAATACTATATTGTGACACTAGCGACAGAGTATGTAAGTGAATATTCTGAAATTACCGTTGCTGCGTAGAAATAGTCGGGTTTCACCATCATATAGTGTTCCTTTAGCACGATTGTACGCAAAGAAAGACTCACAGAGGTCTTCCTGGCCCTGTATCAAACCCATGTACATGGATGAGGTCAAGAAAACAAAGCAGCCCTTCATAAAGGATGATCTGATCCAGAGAAGGCGGTACCTTCACACAGTAAAAGCAATTCCCACAGGGCATTATGAAGGCTCCAACAACATGACTGCCAACTGGAAACCTGTTAATTTTTTAGGGAGGGATAACCGATTAGTTCCAGAAAACCACCATCAGAAAGTTGGAATAGGTGAATAGCGTTGGTGACAGTGCTTCCATGCTTTACCCCTTCAACAGGAGTTGCAAAAATATTTAAGCGCTCAAAAAAGGTAATCTGATGGAAATCCAGCATGTATCTGTGCTGTAAATTTTGTGCAGCTCTCAAGGAGCCAAGCATTCAATCGAACTGAAGCACCTCTAGTTATCAGCCTAAGCAGGTGTTGATGTTCCAAAGAAAAGACTAATAATAAACAGGTGTTGTCTCTTGTTTTCAGCTGCATCGGTATATACCTATTGACGATCTCAGCGGGCGTGTGCGCGCCATGGTCGACAACCTCCCCGGTGATCTCATGGCCAACGACACAAGGGCTGGCGAAAGGGAGTTCGCCTTTCATGACATGGAGATCAGAGTGGCAAACTCCACAAGCTGCATAAGTTGAGCCCATGTCAGATGAAAACCTTAGGATTCGCCCATGGGAGCTGTGAGACCCCATTCCGAGAGTCCTGAGTCACAGGATGCAGACCCAAGTCAAACGAACCTCACAGGAGCATGCATACTTGTTTAGTCAAATTGGGTATATAATCATCCATTCCCCTTTTTTTTACAATAATTTGTTATTTGTTATGCATTATGGCACAGCATACCTAACCAGCGGTGTAAGTCAGCAACATTTACTCCAAATTTCTCTTGTAAATTAGGGAGAGAGAGGAGGGGAGAAGAGAGGGAGTTCATCTAAATCTATCGGGAAGGAGGAGTGGCGGGGGAGGGGAACCTTTGGTCTTGACGAGGACCTCGCCGGCCTTGGGGCGCGGCATGCGGAACTCCTCCATGGTGAGCGGGCGGCCGGGCTCCCAGAACACGGCCGCGCGCATGAAGCTCGGCCCGCCCGACACGTGGTACCCCGAGGCGTCCGGCACCGACGACGACGACGACGACAAGGACCGCCGGAGGGCGCCGCCGATCCGGCTGAGGGCGCGGCGGGAAGCGGTGGAGATGGACATGGTGTGCCTGCCAACGGAACTCTGCAACTTCACCAACTACTCTACTCCGTTGCTGTCTTGCTGGTCTGTTTGGAGAGACCATATTTATACAACAACTCTCAAGCATTTTTATACTGAGCACTCCAACTTTTCATTCAGTAAGCGGCTGCTCCATCATCCAACCAAAGAGAGGACCGATCGGATCGATTAGGACTTTCTACACATGTTTATTCAACTGCTACTGCACTTGTTTTTGCATTAGGATTAGCACAGCAAATGGAAAGACCAAATGCTCAACAAGAAAGCAACAGCGGCTCATAGTTTATTCTCGGAGAAAAGACAATAGATCGGCACTGCGGATAAGGATCCGGATGACGATGTCGGTCGCTTTCATCGGTAAACAAACAAACAAAGAGGCTGCTAAAGGAAGTACCAAATAACTCAACGACAAGTTGTAGCATTAGTTACAATAAATAAAAAAGAAGTTGCAGCATTTCTTGAAACTATTGGAGATGTGCAAATTAATCAACAGAATGACATGAGACAATCGTGAATATTATACATACACCTTGTCATCCTTGGTTTACCGGCCAAACCCGTGTCTGTCTGTCTGTCTGTCTTGTCCAATCCTCCTATATCCATCCACAAAGGCCTCCAAGAATGATCATCTGTTTGCTCCCAACAAAAAAAATGGACGAATACCTTCTTTTTGTACATTTAAGCACCTTATATATACACGCACGATGAAACCAAAAATTGACGAATGTTGTAGCAATCTGTACAATCCCTCGGCGGCAACCGAGCTACTGCACAGCGCCGACGACGCGCAGCTTCTCGTCCCCAATGATCCACCTTGTCAGCTGGCTTGGGTCCTCGGCGAGGGAGCCGCACGACGGGATGATGCTCAGGTCTGAACCTATCACCTGGTAGTCGTCCAGAGCGGCTTTCATTTCTGCCTCCACCTGTGCATCGTCCGTAAGTTCGATGTCCATGCTAAGAGCCTCCCTGTAGTGCCCTTCTTTCTCTGGGTCGTGCTCAAAAGGATCCATGACTGGACCCTGCAATGCCAGAGGGCAATGTAAACAGGTCAGGTTGCATGTTTTGGACGGTCGCAGACAGCGTAAGTTCAGCAGGATGCTTTGCTTACCTGGCAAAATTCGGAGTAATGTTTATAAGCACCGCTGTTCTCATCTTGATCGTATAGCAGTGCTCCACTGTACCAGCCATTGTCTACATCCGCTGTCGTGAATGCTAGATACCTGCAAAATTAAGGGCTCCAAGGATTTAATAAAGCATATAAATGGTAGATTGTGGACTTGATAGACATCAGAACACTGGCAAAGGATATCTATCTGGACTATCCTGGTACAACCTTCTGAAGTTGTCCTCCTCGCATGAATCTGCCGAGGAGGAAAGCCAGTTCAGCTCCCCACACAGAGACACATTCGTCTCATCTTTGTTTCCCTCGTTCGCATTTTCAACTGGAGTAACTTTTGTTGTTGGAACTGTCTCTGCATGTTTTCTTTGACCAAACAACCAGTTTGGGCTTTTAAGTTGTATCTCACTGAATCGTAAAAGCAAGCTGTAAGTACAACATCAAAAAAGTAAGTTCAACCATGAATCATGAATGAAAAGAACTACATACGCTGCATCGGGTGCCATTGCAGAAGTTCCAACACCACCACTTGGCCTTAGATCAGCATCACAGTGAAGCCTCACATTCCTTATCGAACTACAGGTTCTTTCTATAAGTTTGTCGAATGAAGTAAGTTTCATCCTAGAAAAGTCCTCTTTACATGCTGGCACAGGGCTCAATGTGGGTCTTGGGCTCATGGCATCTCCAGATCCCCCGGGCACATTATTTCCATGTGGGGAACTGTGAATTAACATGAATAAAACACATTTTATTGCAGGAAACTACACACCAAGTCCCACTCTTTACATGTTAAGGGACTAAAATTGCACTGTCATAACGAACTGAAGTATAACCAGGATTCAGTTTACCTAAGATGGTAGCTATCATCACCAGCTGTTGTCACGTGGAGATAGTAATCAGTATCCAGATCCCAGAGAGCCGGTTTTCCTTCTTGAGGTTGGAAATAACCCAGAAATCTGGTAATATCACAAAACAAATCAACTTCTCAAATTCCACTTACCACAAGAGCCCAACTACTATCTTGTCTGGTCAAGATTTTATGGATGATGAACTCACGTGCGAGACTTACAAATTTATAGCATCTTGTTTCTCACCGTCGGTGTAAGCATTGCTGTAATATCGTTTAATTGATTTCAGAAACTCCCTAGATTGAGTAGTAGCCTTCCACTTCCCTTGCCTCTCGGGGAAAACCTGAGAAGAAACAAGTATATACAGTTTATGCTCACTGGGAAACAATGAGATTAGGGGGGGAAGACGAGAATTTATTGGCCAGACCAACAGTAATGCCATCCGCACTAGTATATACAAATAGATACAGAGCAGGACAACCAAATTAACACTCCATAGTCCATCCACAAAAAAAAGGTATTTGCTACATTAACTCTGAAGTAACAACAGGATGCTCCCCATGAGAGTTTTATGGCCATTACAAATTACTCATATCCTCTTGTCAACATAAGATGAGACAACAAGAGATGAAAGTACACTAACCGTATTATGTGCTGCAGAGCCTCCGTACTGATGAGCAAGTGCATCACCCATGCTCTGGTACATTTCCATTAAAGCTGAAGCGATGCTGCTATCTGGGTGGATTTTTGAAACATCTGTCAGTCCCATCGCATGAAGTTGCCTCCCCAAAGCAGCAAGGCCATAAGCATACTGTGCGACATTTGTGCGATCCAGGCAATCTATGCAATTCGTACGAAGAACTCCAGTTTGATAACAAGGAGCATCACCAAGAGGCTCATGTTTGCTATCCTCTTTTCTCATATCCTGAGAAGCTATAGAACCAAGTGCATCAGCATTGCTAGAGAGTCTCGGAAGGTCTCCAGAACTAGCTCTTATTTCAACATCCCTGTGCAATGAAGAAGTAGGAGGGAATACTGTCATTTTGCAGTTAGGATATGAGTAGTGCCCTTATTCACAACTTTAACAAACCAGTACAGTTATGGTTCATGATTTTTCCATAAACAGCCTTTTAAACCTTGGTCAAATTCAATTGGCCAGTGATTGTACTTACTTTCTAAATAAACTGGATCGGATTAATATAAAACTTGTCAAGTACTCCCTCCGTTCCAAAATAAGTGTCTCAACTTTGTACTAATTTTAGTATAAAGTTGTCCTAAAGTTGAGACACTTATTTTGGGACGGAGGGAGTATATGCTTGGCAATCTTAGAGGGCAGTACATCTGCCTGTTATAAGCTAGTATATTATATATAGTGGTTCAGTTGTTTTACACAAGAATTAATATATGTACCTTGCAGTGCTAGTTCGACTAAGCTGGATAGACCTTCTTTTCTGAACTTTTGGCTTCCCACTGTAGTAAAATCCAGTAAGGTCCAGTGCTTCACTCGCCACACCTCCTAAAACACCCAGCACATTTGCGGACTTGCTGACATAACAGATAGAAAATCATTAGCAGATGAACAGACACCAACTTATGCAGTTCTGAACTTTCAAGGATCAGTATAAAACCTTTTCGCAAATTTATGAAAATCCCAGTGTATGAATCTCAGTTTCCTCTCTTCTGGGACATTCTGATTAAGATATCCAACTGCATTAAAGAATTCACGCCTGAGCATCATCTCCCTTGGCCTTTTTTCAACAGTCTACACAGAGAGCACAAAAGCAATAACGAGTCATATTGAGGACAAAAGGCAATGATTAGCTGTACAAACAAATAAAAGTGGGCTAGCAGCTCTGTACCACAAAAGCCGAACATGTAAGCAAGAAGTTACTCAGGAAACCCTTTTTTAAATTCTACTCAGGAAACTAGTTGGAAGAACTAAGAGGAAAATTCATCTTTTACAGAAGTAGATTTTACTCCAAATGGCATGTTACTTTTGATGTCTTACATATTGTTTAGTAAGAGTACTTGGGAGCGTAAAGAACCACAAAGATGCTGTACTTTAGCAATTAATCTTATGCATAACAGTCAGTTGAGCTACTAAACTTGAGGTCAAATCTACCAAATCTACATGATAGATAAGATTTGTAAAATTCGTTGAGATAATGACCGTTTCTCTGTATCGTGCACATGAATCGTTAGTTTCATCTCAAAATTAAAGGGAAAGGCAACATCACAGCAGAATCATCACTGTCAACAACAGACGGAAACATTCAGATCCTAAACCAAGTAGCAAACACATACCTTTATTAAATTAAGTATTATGATAGGCTGTCCATATCGCTGAGCGAGATCATCAAAATGTAACTTGGTTGCTTCATAAGTAGGATCATACCTCTGCACTGCACCAGAATCCAAAGATGAGAATGCACACAAAAAATGTATTTCAAGCTTTTAGAAACAAGCCCAGATAAGAGATTGGGCAAACATACAGATAAGACACAACATCTTTTTCTGATACGCAGTTGTAACAAATGATCAGATAAGAAATTTAGTCTCACATATGGACATTCCCCAATCAAAATAGGTCATTTAATTTCACCTGTTTGGTTACAAGGTAATTTTCTAGAAAATCTATTTACCAAAAATATCAGGCTTAGGACTAAGTCGGCCAGCCTCTTGTGACCAAAAGAGAGGGATCGATCCTCGCATCTGTACTATTGCACTCATTCTTCCCTTCCAGGAACCAGCTTCCTCTTCAAATACTATTTGCTCTGTTTCAACATCGTTTGCAACTTTTCCATGGTCATTCACGCCTCTTTTCAAATACCTACAGATACCATGTGGGAGGTAGTAAGTTTTCACTTAAACAAAAAATTCAGATTACTAGCAGAGCATAGACAATACTTTGCTGGCCTCATTTGGCAGAGTAGAGGAAATCGCGTCACCCAAAACAAGAATTTACACATGCATGTGATAATTGATAAATCAACAGAAATCAAATGAACATAGATGATAGGATAGAAGCATGAATAAATGGACTTGGCTGATATAAAGTGAAAGAAGATCCAGAAATATGCAGTCCTACGAGCACATGAAACCTACCGTGTCCCAGCAAAATGCCGAGATCTTCTCGAAATGAGAATAACATTTAACTCCCTGCCAAATACTGACAGCTTGACCTGGAAAATAAATTGTGGGTTGTGTCACATGGAAAGTTAATAAACAATAGTCGTAACACATCTAATTAAGCACTAAAACACAGATCAGCTGCAAGTTGGGCGCTATTGGAAAAAAGAACAGATAATCTGAACAAGAAGCTAATCTAGTAGCAGTGCCCATCAAGCAAGCACTAAATCATAATTTTCAAAGGCTAGTCAAGTGATAATGGTTTCATTCATTAAGGAATAAAGAGATGGTAACTACAAAGCCCTACTCAACCATCACTAGTCATTGCAAGATCTCGTCCAACTTCTTTTCTCTGATGGAAAGAAACTATCAAACTGAAATAATAGCAGCTTTTCTGTTAGGTCACAATTGTCTCAGATTCTGTTAAACAAAAACAATTGAAATATTTTGAGCAGCAAATTCGTATGCATTCTTTATCAAAATTTGTTAGTGGCATCCCCTTCTAATTTTCTCATAAGACCCAGTGAGACAGATAATGCAAAGCTCCAAGTCAAATATGAGTAATATCAGAAATGGAAAAGCAAGCAATAGAAATAGTAATGGTAGCAAAACCAATCTAGATGGCAGACTATTTGCTAGGCATAACCTGCTTAAAGTGTCCATGAACGAGAGCTACACTCCACAGAGCATTGCGGCACCTTGAGCGAATCGGCTCTGTCAGAAAAGTGTTCCATACAAACAAATTTTCATAAGGTGTTTCCTTCATCCCTGCAGAGGTGACATTCTGCTGCAAGCTCTGCATGATTGGGTATGTGTAGCTATAGAAGAAATCCTTTGTGAGATCAACACTGGCCAAAAGCTTCTTGTACCTGTTACGGAGACATCATATTTCACAGCATTTGGTAAATAACCAAACTTATATACATAACTGCCAAAAAAATCAAACTATCAAAGATAACTTGTACCTTAGCTCGTTCTTAGAGGTTGCAACATCTGTCTGTACAGATGAGTGCGGGATGGTGATCATCTGGCTCTCATCTATACAATATATAGCATGGCCACAGATGCAACCGATTTGACGGCGCTTGGTGACTAAAATCAGGTAATATGACTCCAAGAACTTGATGCAACCTACATAGCAACAGAAACAAAAACTTCAAAAAAAATGGCAGGAGTATGTGAGTCCTCTGGCAAAGAAAGCAGTCACCAAATTGCAAAAGAAATATAACCGGGATTCAGAGGTTAATGAATTAGCTCTCAGTTTGCATCATTATTATCTATGTATTTCCGTTACCAGCTTCTGACTGTGCTTAAGCGTGCCTAGGCGCTAGGTGACAGCAGAATTGTAGCCTCAAGCACTGATAGGCGTGCGCTTAAGCGTGCCTAGGCGCTAGGTGACAGCAGAATGTGTGGCCTTAAGGACTGATAGGCGTGCGCTTAAGCGTGCCTAGGCGCTAGGTGACAGCAGAATGTGTAGCCTTAAGCACTGATAGGCGTGCGCTTAAGAGTGTCTACTCATGTGCTTACGTGAGATGGGCACTAGGAAGTAGCAAACTAAGAATTTAAGCCTAGAGCTTTTCTGAGCCTTGATTCCTAGTAAGGAACAAGGAAGTTGTTGCCAATAGATCCAAGGGACATCTTTCCTCTTTTGGAATTCATAAGCAAACGAAAGAAAACATGACGGCATAAGTATACCTTCCTATGACGAGCCAACTGAAACAAAACTAGCAGGGATTGGTTGGAATGAAATCACGGCCAATTTGCAATACAGAGACAATTTATCAACTAAAATAAGTTACCCACACTTCCTGGCATGGTAAATCTGCTGATAAATATTATCATATACCTCCAACTTAATTTTCCAGCACAAAGAAACCACAAAGAATTTTCCAGCAAAAGGCATTGACCAACTAGAGAAAGGCTTTCTAATTTCTGACAAAATAAATCTTATGACACATTCATTTGCTTTAACAGAACAAATTCGTCCGGCTTAATTATAATTCGTATGAATTAAGAATGAAATTTCCATGGGATCAGTACAGCGAGCTAGGTTAACAATGCAACCCAATCCAATCCAGTGCAATGGGATGAATGAACGAACGAACGTTCTGGTCGGGGCACCTGCGATGCCGTAGGCCTTGGTGACGAAGGTGAGGCCGCCGGTGGAGCGGTTGCCCTCGGCGATGCGCTGGAGTAGGCTCTTGACCTCCTGCTGGGAGTACCAGACGGGGTCCTCGCTGAGGTGGAGCTCCGACGGCTCCGAGCGGTCAATCTTGAGCACCCGAAACCACCGCTTCTCCCGCGAGCTCCCGATCACGTAGAACCTCTGCGAGCACAGCCAATTCCGACGCGTCAATTGAGCAAGCTAGCGAGCGAGCAATCCCGCCGGGCGTGCGGTTGGGAGAAGGGGGGCAATGGATGCTTACGGCGCGCGTTTCGTAGAGGCGGAACTTCTCCAGCGTCGCTGACGCCGCCGTCGGGTCGTCCGCCTCCGCCGCCATCGATCCCGATCGAAGCGCGCAAGGGAAGAGGGGGTGGAAGGGAGTCCGAAGGGGACGATCGGAAAGGGGAAGAAGGGGGCACTGCGGATATTGTATCTAAACGCTGAAGGCGTCCTCCGCGGAACACGTGACCATGTTGTCAAGGCGTCCTCTTCTCTGCAATGTACAAAGCGTATTGAGAACTGTATCACGTATAGATCGCAGGTATTGCATGGTGTTGGCAACTTGGGATACCCTCGTGCGTGCGTGCCTACGTGGGCTTCGAGAAGATGACAATTTTAAGTCGTTGGTTTTTATTTTTATTTGCGAGGAAGTCGTTGATTTTTTTAAATAAACTTTCATTAAACTCTAGGCACAACAATATCGCTGGGGATTCAACCAGACCATACCCAAACTTTGCTAACTCATGTGCTACTTTATTACATGTCGGAGTACAGAAAATAAAACTAAAACATTGAAATGACATAATACAGCAGCTCCTAGCCTCCCTTATCAGAACTCCGATCTCTCACAAATCAGCATCTCCCCTTACAAGCGCATAAACAAGATTCTTCAAGTCTGATTCTAGCACAACTTGATGCACCCCAATTTGAGCCGATCCTTCAATTGCAGCTAGACAAGCAAGTGCCTCAGCATGAATAGCACTCTTAGGGCTTTTTTGATTTAAAGGATTCTTAAAGGAATTTTGAAGGATTCTAATTCTTAGGATTTTTTTCTATCTTGGTTGTTTGATTCGTAGGATTGTAAACCATAAAAAAATTTCCATAGGATTCATTTGCACTAGATTTCATAGGAAACATCCCATCCGCTTAAACCTCTTTAAAAGAATAATGTGTTTTTTCTATGCACAATCAAACACTCGTCAATCCTGTAGGATTCAAGACGACATTTCACTCTAATCCCATATTTTTCCTATTCTCGCGTTTTGAAAATCCTACGAATCAAAGAGGCCCTTAACATTTGTGAATTTCCCAGCTACAGCCGCTATGACATCACCCTCATCAGAACGTACAACATAACCATATACACCATCTCCCCTATTCTCATGGAATGCAGCATAAAAAGTGATCTTAACGTAATCTGCACATGGGCGTTCCCATGATTGAACCTCATGCCTTGAGGTACCATTAGACTCTTGAACCTTAGTAAAATCCTGTAAATGTTTACAGATATTAAAACAGACCTAGTCAAACGATCTCCATTGCTCTCCTGCATTTACTTTGTTCCGAGTATTCCACCAGTCTCACAGTACAACACCCACCAAAACCTGCTTCTCGGAACTAAGCTTGCATATGGCTTCAACTACTGCATCAGCCAACGAGAGCGACAGTAGGCCTAACCTGATCTCTTCCAGATTCATGCTGCGCCACACTTGTTTGACAAACTTGCATTTCAGAAAAATATGACTGTCGGCGTCCTGGGAACGGGTGTTGGATTTCGGCTTCTGGCAGACCCTTGAGGTTCGAACACTGGGATGCGCGCGGGGATTTCGCCTTCTACCTACCTGCACCCCACCGCCTCGCTAAGATCTAAGCTATGGAAAGGACAGCACAAGAGACACAGGGTTTATACTAGTTCGGGCCACCATGGTGGTGTAATACCCTACTCTAGTTTGTGGTGTGGTGGATTGCCTCTTGGACTGATGATGATGAACAATACAAGGAAGAACAGCCTCGCGAGGGTCTGTTCTTGGCTGGGGCGATGAACTGTTAGGAGGAGTTCAGTCACCCTTCTCTCTCTATCTGTGTGTGATGCTACTCGGTCCGATCCCAGCTTGCTTCTGGGTTGGCCTCTAGACCCTCGATTGCCGATTGCCTCTACCCTGGGGGTGGCTAGTCCTATTTATAGGCAAAGGCCCTGGGCCTCTTCCCAAATATTGAGCGGGAAGGGCGCCAACAATTGGCCATTTTGAAGGGGAACATCTGGTACACTTATCCTGACTAAAGTTGGTCCTCGCCTACCAAAGGCTCTGGTGGTGACGCTGGCTCGGGCTCCACAATGACTTTCTCCCTGCCGTTGGGCTGGTCTTGGTCTCATTGCACCGAAATGGGTGCCTTTGCTTGATGCTCTCGCCTGCGCTTGCTCCCTTTGCACCAAAGATGAAAGGAGGACACTGCGCGGCCTGGCGCCCGCCTGGCGCCCTTGGTCGTCATGGCTTGCGTCACGGGCACCTCACGAGGTACCCCGCCTTGATCTCACCGCCTCCTCGCGAGCCAGCCTGATGAGGCCGTGCCTGAGGAAGCTACGTGTCGTCCGCCCCGCGAGGCTTGGCCCCTCGCGAGGGTCTTGAGTCTGTGTTGATGAAGATGGGCCGTGCTGGGCCCCCCTTTGAGCCACGCCGCAGGCCGCAGGCAGGCAAGTCTAGGGACCCCCATTCCCAAAACACCGACAGTAGCCCCCGGGCCCAAGGCGCGCCCGGACTTGGCCGTGCAAGGAGGCGAAAGGGCAAGGGTGAAGCGCCGCGGGCCCTAACAGCCTGCGGCCTTGGGCGCCGCGTGGCGGTTGATTGGACGTGGGCGGCACTGTTCCCCCGCGCCCCCTTATTTTGCGCCATGCTAGGCGGACTCGTAGTCGTACACAGCCGCTCCCCTTTCTGCTGCTCGAGCGTCCTCTGTCCTTCCTCCTCTCGAACTCCAGCTTCTGTTTTCAACCCAATCTCGAACCTTCCTCCCCCCTTCCCATCGCCATGGCTCCGACGAAGAAGGGAAGAGGGAAGAAATCCATGCCTCTGCCTCGCTCGCCGCTGTTGGCGCCCCCCGCCGTCGACCAGTCGATAATCGATCGAGAGGGCTTGGGCAAGGTCAGCTCAGCTCTAGCCACTATCTTCAATGAATGCGGGAGGACGACGGCCTGGCCCGCGTCTCACTTCTCCATCGACAGGATAGTCACTGAGGTCCAGTATTTTGCCGACGCCCTGTGGGCGGGTCTGGTTCCCCCTCTTTTCTGATTTCTTCAATGTCGTGCTTTCCCACTATCAGATCCACACGATGCATCTGGGTCTTGAATCCATCACCCTTCTTTCGGTCTTCGCCTTTGTTTGTGAGGCAATGATGGGCATCCTTCCTTCGATTGCCTTGCTGCGCCACTTCTTCTTTCTGCGCCTTGTCGATCCTACCCAATGCTCGGCGTGCATGAGCTTCGCTGCCGCGCCTGAGACATCAGCCTCGAGGATTGACTTCAGGCTCCCTCCGCCTGCGGCCGGGTTCCGCGAGCGGTGGCTGTATGTGGATGTAGGGGTGCCCAGCCCCCTGCTATCGGAGCCAACTTCGCCTGCTGTCCCCAACTCGGGCTGGGGCCAGGAGATGCTCGAGAGCCCCCGGTTCGTCTTCGTCTGGCACCGCTTCGCGTTCTTGAGGTCGCTTGGCGTGACAGCGCCCAAGGTGGTGAAGGAGTTCCTGCTACGCCACATTGCTCCTCTCCAACGCCACTCCCGCTGGATGTGGGCCTTCAGCGGGCGTGATGATCGTATGAGGCTCCAGGAAGAGGACCTGACGCCTAAAGTGCTGACGACAACGCTCTTGATCCTGACTGGGGACCCTAACCCTGGCAGCATCCAGCAGGGAGGGGCCTTGCTGTACCTCTGCCAGAACAGGGGCGACTTTGTGAATTAGATGCCTATCTTTGATGAGTGGGGGCCGCGCCCCGCCGGCCTCCAGGGGCCTCGCGAGAACCCAGTGATGGCGACTGCCCTTCCAGTCGGCCAAGGCGACTCTTCCTCAAGTGGCGGTGCAGGGAGGCATGAGGCGCCAAAGGCCGAGGGGGCTCCCGGCGGGGTAACAGCGCCGACCGATGCTCATGAGGGAGCAGCTCTTGGGGCCCGTGCTACTGAGGCTGAGGGTGACAAGCAGCTACCCTCAGCGCCTGCGACTGAGGCCCCTGAGGCTCCAGCCGCTTCTCTTGGTGAGGCGATTGGCAGCGCGCATCAGGCAGGCGCCCCTGATGCGGATCGCCTTGCCGCTCCGTCTTCGTCGCAGGTTGATCCCTGCGTTCAACTCTTGGGCCGCTTCCGCATGGACTTTGAGGCCCTCCGGAAGAAAAGGGAGGCCCTGGGCGACGATTACCCTTGTCGCCTGCTGAAGCGTAGGAAGTACTTCGCCACTGATGAGTAAGCCTTCTCCTTTTCCAGCTCCCGATCCTTCTGTTGCTTTTACTGATCCTTGCTCCGCAGGCCCCTTCCAGCCGAGCTCGCGGAGATGGCTGAGGTGCCGTCCCCCTTGGCTTCGCCCCCTCCACCGTCCTTCAGCGCTCCAAGCAGCAGAGCTCTTGTGGTGAGGGCGATCGGAGAGGCGAACCGTCCCGAGGCGCATCGAGGCCCTGCGCACCTCGCGATCCTCCTTTGCGGGCCTTCCTGTGGCATAGCCAGCCTGCCATGGGCTTCTCACCTGGTTGTGGACTGCGATTGGCTGAGGCGCTCCCTGCGCTCCCCATCTAGGGATGGGCTGGCCCCAGGCCGGGCTTCTGGCATGGCGTGCCCGGCCGTCGTGAGGGTGCCAGCCCCCAGCCCCCTGCCCAGAGGGGGAGTGCTGATTCGTGGCCCCCGGCGCTTGCTCGGGGCAGATGATGGTGTGGAAGACGTGCTCGAGCGTGCCCGGGAGCGTCGCGCTCTTCGCCAAGGATTCCTTCGAAGGGCGGCTGACGCGGTGAACCTGCTTGGTGAGGAGCTTGCTGGTGAAGACGCGCGCCTTGAGGCCGAGGGCCTGCGCCTGGCTGCAGAGAGGCGCGAGCTGGAGGGCGCCATTGCCCTTGCACGTCATCAGCGTGATCTTGCCGACGGAGAGGCCAAGGCGTCGCTGGTGGCCTCTCGGGAGGCCCGATCTCGGGCCGATGAGGAGGCCCGGGAAGCTGACCGGCGGCGAGAGGCGGCGGAGGAGCGGGCTCGGGAGCTCCTGGCCTGGTGCCACTCACTGGAGGAGCAAGTGGAGCTGCGCGAGGCAGTCCTCGCATCGATGAAGGTGGCCTCTGGCGACCCAGTAGAGCTCCGGAAGCGTGAAGAGGCGCTG